AAAAAAAAAAAAAAAAAAAAAAAAAAAAAAAAAAAAAAAAAAAAAAAAAAAAAAAAAAGATAAATACGAGTATAAAACTAGATCTCACGCACCACACCCCCTCCCCCCGATCCTTGATAGAGAGGTATAGCTTCTACCTGCAACTGTATAAAGCATTGCCCTCGTCGTGTCCTCCCGCAAGTAATACCCCCTCGTGGCTTTTTGTTAATACTATGGTAGCCTAATATAAATATATGCATATACATATATGTATATTATATACGCGTATAAAAAGTTAAACGTAAATAATATACGCGCACGCACGTTGTTCTCTTTTTTCTTTTTCTTTTTCCCTTTCATTAGCCGTGGACACAGTATTATTTGCCAAATATTGGGCATGTGACCTCATTACCAGAGATGAAGTTTTTTTTCGTTGTAGGAAAAAATGAATTTTTTTTTATTTTTTATTTTATCAACAATCGGCACACGTATGTATACATAGTACATTATAAGAGTGCACTGCTTGTACGCTGTTCGATGGCACAGAGCCGTTTTTGCGAAATAAAAACTTAGAGTAAGTAACACTCCTCCCTTCGCTTGCGAACTTGTCGAGCGAGGGATGATCGATCGAGCGTAACTTCTTTATTTTTCGAAAGTTTCCCTCTCTTTCCATCATACGTGCAACTCGTGTAAATTTCATTAACATACAACGTACGAGTTGGTGATGTCGTTTTCGACTTTACGTGTAATTAGTGACGAAAGATGAGAAATGTTTTTTTTTTTTTTTTCTCCACCAACTCGGTTATTTTTGTACGGAACGAAAAAAAGTGGCTCGTCAATCTCTGGACCAGACATGTTCAACTGCGTATCGATTCTGTCCCCCTTTTTCCGATACTTCAAATGAGAAGCTCTTCGTTGTACCATTGGGTATCATTTGAAATTATTGGAATGGAAGATGATATTCTGGCAGGTATGGTTTATGCGCTATATACTGGGGAAAAGTATTATTATTTGCATGAAAAACGTTTTTAATCAAAGAACCGTATGTTTTTTGCGCACTGCTCTGAATAAATTGCCATAAGTATTTTTTTAATGAACCCAACTGGTTACGTATACGTGCATTTTTTGTCATAACCCGTATTAAAATAAGAATTGACGTTATTTGTCTTTTACAGTTTATCGATGCATTTTACGACAATTTTTATACTTTCTTTTCAATATCAAAATAAAAATTTTGTCTAGTCAAGCGTTTGAAGCATATTTTTATTTAAATTTAAAAAATCATAAAGACTTGCTTTTCCTTTATGCAGTACGTTATTTTTTATAAAGAGTTTCACGTCAACTGAATATGTCAAAGTGTCAATTATCGTTCGAAACTGCTGTTTATCTTGTTTATGCTTTGAAATTATTGAAATTTTTTGGTTGATAATTAATTTCATTTTTTTTTTCACTGATCTATGATTAAGTAAGAAAATCTTATTTTCGAACGTTTCAAGCATGTGATAAGCATGAAATTATTTCATCTCGAATCAAAATATTAGAACTCGGCGTTTTGTAATTTCTGCGTAAGCTGGAGTGAAATGNGATGTTCCGAAACATGAGTGAACGTTAAAGCGAGTATCTCTCCCAATAAACTATACATAGTTAACTTTACAGCGAGTGAAAAATATCACTCGCACGCGCGATAAATATATATTTATTAAAAATCTGCGAATGTGCTTTGAGCTTGGGTGAATTATCGAAATCGAAAACCTCCGAACAAAATGATCAGGACGAGGTTCATCCACCCTTGCTAAAAAAAAGAAAAAAAATAATCGCCTTAAGAGTAAATAAATGCAAAAAGCTTAAAAATCAAACGAAACACTCGGGTGTTCAATTTTATAGATAAAGTACGGAATAAAAGTTTCCATCTTCGGCAGATAAGTAGTATATAAAATACGTTGATCGGACGAGTGCAGCAACAAAAGATGAGTAACGTTACACCTTTTTTTTAGTCATCAATGTAAAAGTACGCGATCGCTTATTTCGGGTATCGATGTTTGGCACGCAGTAATATGTTAAACAAGTAAATGCAGACATGAGGATTAGTAAGAGAGAGAGAGAGAGAGAGAGATAGGGAGGTAAAAATTCACAGGCAGTAATGGGTTGCAGCCGGCTCCTCGCGCCGGTGCAGGTAACTGTAGTCCGCCGGTCACATCGAGGGCTGGGCCGGTGGCAGCATGTTCTCGTATCCCGCGCCCATGCCCAACTGGTGATGATGATGGTGGTGGTGATGGTGCGAGCCCGTCATCATCTGGTGATGGTGGTGGTGGTGGTGATAACTCGGCTGGTAGTACTGGTGGTGCGAGGTTACGTTGGAGTAGTACAGCGAGGCGGCCTGATCGCCCGGTGCGGCCGGTGTAGCAGCCGACCCCTCTTTTCCTGCGAAAAATCCACGCGACAAGAGGCTCTCGTTACTATTGTTGCCACTACCGCTGTTGCTCCCGGCATCGGTACAACAATTACTACTCGGGGCAACTATCGTCATATCGGCGAGTTTGTTTTTTTGGTGCTCGTCATCGTTCATGCTCTTAATTAATATATAATATATGATATACATATAAAGCTATATAACGAGCGTTGACGTCGAATTATATAAATATACACGTAAAACAAGAGCTACGACGATGTTAGTTTAGATGTACAATTATCATATCAGTCGTGCAGTGAATTTTGTATTTATCATTGCCGAACGATCATTAGTTACGCAAAATTTTGTGTATGTATGCGCATACGTGGGATATGTATACACCTCGAAGACAATATTGTACCAAACGATTGAAAATAATAAAGGGCGCGATGAAAAATGTACACCAGCAAGTTGCAAAAAAAAAAACATTAATTGAAATCCGATGGTTTTTCATTAGCCGCCTACTTAAAATAATTTATGAATTCGTCTGACACCTGCAACGTGTGTAATTAGGAACTAATGAAAAAACAAAAGTCCATCTATTCGATACACTAAGTAAAGCATAAAAGGTGACGTTGTGAGCGAATAAAGTTAAATGTGTTTTATTTCGACTAGTGAGTGATATTATTGTTAATATATTATTGGTTCTCGTGAAGAGACCACAATTGTATATGCTTATTATTATACCTAATAAAAATAAAATTAAACACGAAAACTCATTACCGCCAATACTTTTAATATATGTCCTTATGAATCAACGCTAACATTCTCCAATGAGTAAAACTCGCAAATTCCTCCAAAAAAAAAAAATAATCATGCATAAGTATAATTTTTTTTGTTTCAATCGGAGAAACGCAGAAAATTTAATTAACATTCTGGCTGCGAGCTGTGCACTGTCCAAAACTATTTTTAATCTCAAAAGTAAAATCACCTCCCATTATCCGTGCAATTAATCCCGCCACCTCGGTTCGTCCAAGCAAAAAGTGGAAGGAAAGGAAGGCGTGTGAAAAAGAAGCGAAGGAGCACCTTCCATTATCTCAATTACAAAGTTCGCAGTAAAAAGCTCAGCCGCGACATCACGGCCAGTGGCGTCCTCCTCCTCGGCGCGATTTGCTTTGATCAAACGAAAAGTCGTACGCGCACTCGGGAAAGAAACGGAAATGTGCACACGCGAGATCAGAGAGGCAGAGAAAAAAAGAGCGCGAGGAGGAGCTTTATTTGCAAACGTCTTGTTACCTTCGGCAAAAAATCCCAAACGAGCAGAGTAAGTGCGTCCGGAGCTGGTATGGAGAAGCAGAGAGGAAAAAGGACGCTAAACCGCCACAGAGGTTTTAAGTGTTTTAACGTCAAAGGGAATGACGTTACTACTGCTGACCGTCGGAGCTTTTCTGCTGATGCTAATGGCGCAAGATTATACTCCTGTGGCTGTAAATCTATGATTCAAGCATTTTATTTTACGCTTTGCAACAAATTGCACTTTGATATTGTTTATGTGTTTTTTATTTGTAAACGTAGCATAGATATTCATATTAATATTATCAGTTGAACAAATTTGTTCGATTTTGTTATCGTAAAAGTTGCATTAAAATAGGGAAGTCGCGTGAATTATTGTTTTTTAAGATTTTTATTGACAAGTGGCTAAGCTAATTTTTGTAAATTATTTAACGATAAGCTTACGCATTACTGTCACGCGATAACGGGAAACAAATTATATTCTATGGACGAAACTTAAATCAAAAGATAGTTTTCTAGAATCATCAGTTTACCGACTGACCGTAAGACTAAAGGTTACCTACGTTTTCCTACATTGACTGTCAGTGGCTCGTACGATTTCTGGCTTACTTGTACTTGGAATGCAGATTTACTGGTTGTTATCGACAACCAGTATTGAGAAAAACAATGTTGTAAAATTCATAGTTGAAAATAAAAACTTTTTTCTTCGATAAACAGATGTAGATTATTAAACATTAAAAGTATGTACGTAAAATACGACAAGAGAGAGGGTAAATGAGTCCTTCGGATACACATTGATTTCTCTATATATTATATACAGTAAATTTTTACAGTCACAGTTTTCGTTTATATAATACTATAATATATAAATCTATACATTTTTTTGTCATAACCCGTATTAAAATAAGAATTGACGTTATTTGTCTTTTACAGTTTATCGATGCATTTTACGACAATTTTTATACTTTCTTTTCAATATCAAAATAAAAATTTTGTCTAGTCAAGCGTTTGAAGCATATTTTTATTTAAATTTAAAAAATCATAAAGACTTGCTTTTCCTTTATGCAGTACGTTATTTTTTATAAAGAGTTTCACGTCAACTGAATATGTCAAAGTGTCAATTATCGTTCGAAACTGCTGTTTATCTTGTTTATGCTTTGAAATTATTGAAATTTTTTGGTTGATAATTAATTTCATTTTTTTTTTCACTGATCTATGATTAAGTAAGAAAATCTTATTTTCGAACGTTTCAAGCATGTGATAAGCATGAAATTATTTCATCTCGAATCAAAATATTAGAACTCGGCGTTTTGTAATTTCTGCGTAAGCTGGAGTGAAATGCTTCCTAATCGTTAAATAAAATTGCGTATCATTATGATGTAGATGAAATTAGTAGTTGAAGTATGAAAAAAAAAAAAAAAAAAAAAATATTCCCTCTCGANAAGTACGGAATAAAAGTTTCCATCTTCGGCAGATAAGTAGTATATAAAATACGTTGATCGGACGAGTGCAGCAACAAAAGATGAGTAACGTTACACCTTTTTTTTAGTCATCAATGTAAAAGTACGCGATCGCTTATTTCGGGTATCGATGTTTGGCACGCAGTAATATGTTAAACAAGTAAATGCAGACATGAGGATTAGTAAGAGAGAGAGAGAGAGAGAGAGATAGGGAGGTAAAAATTCACAGGCAGTAATGGGTTGCAGCCGGCTCCTCGCGCCGGTGCAGGTAACTGTAGTCCGCCGGTCACATCGAGGGCTGGGCCGGTGGCAGCATGTTCTCGTATCCCGCGCCCATGCCCAACTGGTGATGATGATGGTGGTGGTGATGGTGCGAGCCCGTCATCATCTGGTGATGGTGGTGGTGGTGGTGATAACTCGGCTGGTAGTACTGGTGGTGCGAGGTTACGTTGGAGTAGTACAGCGAGGCGGCCTGATCGCCCGGTGCGGCCGGTGTAGCAGCCGACCCCTCTTTTCCTGCGAAAAATCCACGCGACAAGAGGCTCTCGTTACTATTGTTGCCACTACCGCTGTTGCTCCCGGCATCGGTACAACAATTACTACTCGGGGCAACTATCGTCATATCGGCGAGTTTGTTTTTTTGGTGCTCGTCATCGTTCATGCTCTTAATTAACCGTAATTTCCACTGACTGTCGTAAATATCACGGGCAACGTAGGCGCAGTGCGGCGGCTTGACGTCGCCAATGGGACTGAGCTCGTGGGGGTGGGCGGCGCCTGGGTGGCCGGGCGAGGGCGTGACCGAGACTGCGGGGCTCGCGTAGCCCGCGTGCTGCTGCTGCTGCTGCTGCTGATGGTGACTGCTGTTGTTGTTGTTGTTGTTGTTGTGATGGTGGCCAGCCATGGGGCCAACCGCCGAGGCTATACCCATCCCCGGGACGGGCGACATCGTCAGAGACGCGTAGCCGGACTCGAGCTGCAGCCCGGACTGCTGCTGCTGACTGTTACCGCCGAGGTGCTGGCTTTGGCTCCCAATGACGTTGCTCGCGCTGTTCCCGCTGCCCAGTGGACTCGTCAAGGGATTCCCCGAATGGCAGCTCGGCGGAATCATTTCGCTGTAAACAGATACGAAAAAAAAAAAAAAAAAAAAAAAAAAAAAAAAAAAAAAAAAAAAAAAAAAAAAANAAAAAAAAAAAAAAAAAAAAAAAAAAAAAAATATACTTACTCGTGTTTGCAATCGATTTGGTTCACATATGCATCGTTTAATAATTGTTTGTACTCGTCAGGCGTCGCTACGGGGGTTTTCCCGTATCAGTACCGACGTAAGTAAACTTAAACGAAAACAGGCCTGGCTCCACCACAGGATGTAATAAATAATGACAACTAGGAGAGTCAACTCGCCGGCAGGCACTTTACGAAAATGTTGAAAAGGTTTACGCCGCTTCGCGGAAAACCCGCACGAGTCACCCCCGACCCCCCAAATCTCTCGCAGAACAAAGTGCACGGTAATGCTCCTCGACAAAAAAAAAAAAAAAAAAAAAAAAATATTCCCTCTCGAAC